TTGTGGGGTCTGCCACGCCTCCTTCTGCCTGTTACATACATTTCAACAAAACCATTATACCCTGATTTCCCATTGAAAATGGGTTCAGGATATAATGAGTGTAAGGGGCCCCCCCTAACCTGATGACGCGCAGTGTATGTACATAATTTTTTTGTATTTGTCAGGCATATCATTTTGTAATTGTTGCATCTATAGAGCAGATCAATCAATAATCACTTAATTGTTCCGTTTTAAAGCTAATCGTAAATCTATACCATATACATACACACATATTTCATATTTGAGTTTCAAGATTATGTATGTATGTATACATATGTAGATACACTAAGTAAGCAAGAACTTCTATCTCCATTTACCGATATACCATATCGAATATAAGTCAATATAAATATATATACATACATATGTACACATTTAAAGACATACTCATCGACGCTCTCATTGAGCCAAACATATGTAATTAATTAAAATAAAAGAGTAAAGTGTTGAGTAATATTTCAAGTGAAATGTGTATAAAATTCGATCTTTCAAGCATCTGTTACATAAATTAAATATTTTACAATACTACTGTATTTACTACACTTAGCTTTCTAGCAAACCTTATAAAAGAAAATCCGCTTAATAATAGACCATATACATACATATACAATAATATTATAACTAATAGGTACGAAATAAATATATTCTGAGGCATTCTTTAACTGGGAATCTCGATTGATTCTCATTTGTCATTCGAATGCGAAAGTAATAGATTTGCAATTGTAGCTTTGAATACAAAGATTGGGAATACTTAGGTCTGTGGATACCCTCTCCCCACTCGATGTTGATCAACTTAAGGCTAGGTAAAAAAAATACAAACAAAACAAAAAATAGAATGAATTAGCATTAAACTAGGATTAAACATTATTAAGATTAGATGTAGGGTCCGGGATATTGGTATCCGCTGCTGCCCACGCCCTGGACGTGTCCAACGTTGTAGCTGTCGGCACCGCTGTAAGTCTCTGCAGCAATATTCTTATATACTGTGCGACTTGGCCAATCCACCGAGGCGGGTCGACGGCGACGCGATTGTATTGGCGGAACATATGAATCTATATCATCCTCGTATGCATTCGGCTGCGCTGGCAGTTGAGGCGATGGCCTGAAACTGCTGGTGCTCCTAGAGTCGTAGGGGTATGTACTGTCCAGGGAGGACTCTTGGGGCACCTCCAGTGTGTGGGCAGGCGCACGAGCCGTCTTGACGTGGGCAAAGCTAGGCGGCGAGTAGCTGTAGCCCTGCTCTAAATCCAATGGTTCCTCAACCGGCGCTGGCTCTGCATATCCTCCGCCATGGTACAACAGAGAGGAGGTTGGCTTGTGGAGATGCTGGCGCGCAGGTGAGGCATAGTGATAGCCCACATCGTCGTCGTTGTCGTCCAGCTGATGTGAGTGCTTGTGATGATGAAGTGTATGATGCTGCTGAGGTCGGCTGTCGATCACGTGATATGTATCCACGGCATGGTCTGGTCGAGACTCGTATTCGTAGCTGCTGGGTCGATGCTTCTCCTCGATGATCGTATAGGTGTTCACCTTCTTCTTGGGCGGTGACGGCGGTGGCTTCTTGGCCGCATAGGCTTCGCTGAGATGCTCAGCCAGTTCCTTGGCATGGTTCAAGTAGTCCGCATGCTCACTCATGTGCAGCGGCTTATCCAGATCCGACAGTATGACGCTTTCCAGCAAGGGGCTTGTTTTGGTCTTTAAAGGAGGACGTTCGCGCGACCTTATATGCGGTGGCGCATGGTGGTGAAAGTGATGGATTACCTTGGGTGGCTGCTCCGCACCGATGCTCGGCACCTGATCTTTAGGCACATGCACCTTAATGTGAACATACTCATTGCCAAAGCTATACACTAGCGGCGTCAGCGATAATACCACCACCGTCAGCAGCAATGCTGGAATACCATTTGACTCTGTTATGGAATTCATGAGACTGCGATTGAACATGTGTTTTACGGTAAAATTTAGACTACTACGCTCTGATGCGATCAGTTCTGCTCTACTCTTCTGATGTTACTTGTTGGCCGAGCGCACTGCCAAAATTGGTTTAAACCGTGGTCTTTCCATTGTCAAAATTTATATACCATCCGCGACTGACCAGTTAAAACGGGAAAATTTCAAAAATATCTTCGAAGTAGCGAATATCCGATGCGCTGTAATTTCTACATACATCAAAATATAAATAAAGTATTAAAAGTAA